ATAAATAAAGTAAATAAAAACTGAAATAAATAACAACTGAATTAGCAAACTGACTCAAACTGACACTACTATAACTGAAACAAATAACTACACATGCTGTCCTACGAACACAGTGGGAACCACTGCAGTGGGGCCCACATCAGTGTTCTCTACAACTCCCATTTATATAATAAGAATGAGTTGGACTGAACACCAACCATACCAACTCTACCATTCTATTGAATTCTCTTGCATTTTTCTCTCTTTCTCTCTTACCTTCTCTTACCTTCTCTTTTCACATTGAACATACACTTAATAGCAAATAGGTGGGATTAATTGAATCTTGGAGAGATTATGTTGAGGGGGATATTTCATGTTGGATTCTATATTAATTTTAATAACTTCTAGTAGTTATAAGTTAAATATGAATACCACATAATCCTTGATAAATTATTATGTTTTTTAAAAACAACTCTTACCAAAGTCTCAAAACACATTCTGGATCATTTCTGTTTCTCACAACCCAAAGCTCAAATGAAGCTTATCCAAACTGAACCTTGGTTATGCCATGAACAAGTAAACATTGTAGTTCGCAATTATGGGGATATTTTGTTGGAAAAACAAATTTGCCAATTCCAATTTATAAAATTGCCACAGCATATGGTTCCCCTAAATCATGTGAAAAATCCCATTTGTTAAGAATCAGAAAATCAGTAGGGTAATTTATTAGTCCTTTTTTTTATGATTTAGAGTGATGCACAAAGCTTTGAAAGATAGATTTAAGATTTCTTAATTGATTTTTGCATGGCAGTGGCATGTCAATTCCAATAATGTGCAAACCAATAATTTTGTGATAGTTGCATGTTTTTTTAGAGAAATCACCACCTTGGCATCATGGTTTTTTAAAACGAACCGGAAACAGAACCGGTCAGAGGACCGGTTTCCGGTTAAGCGGTTCAACCGTCCGGGTTGAACGGTTCGACCCATGACGTCATAAATAAATTAAAAATAAAAAATATATTTATAAATAATAAAAATAACATAAAATTAAATAGAAAACAGAAAAAAATACAGAAAATAAAACTACAGAAAAAAATACAGAAAATAAAACTATCTAAATAAAAAATAATACACTATAAAATACATAAAAAATATAAACATAAAATACAGAAAAATTCTAAAAAATACAGAAAAAACACAAAAAAAATAAAAAAATACAGAAAAAATAGCTTGAAATAAACCCTTAAACCTATATGTAAAAATCAGTGCAAAAAAACCATGATTTTGGGTTGTGAGAGATGTTTGGCTGAAGATTCTTCATTCGTGAAATGAAAGACCCCTTTGAGGAGGAAATTAATTTATTGAAAACAAAGATTGAGCAGCAAGACAAGTAGCCTGAAGAGACAAGCTGGAGCAAGCTAAAGAAGACAAGTGAAAGAAGACAAACTCACAATTCCTCATCGTCTTTTTTCTTAGCAAGGCACTTAAACCGGAACTCACCCAGCTTGGTCTGGTGTTTTCCAAAAGAAAAAAAAAAGAGACAAACTCGCTACAAACTCGTAAGTTTGGGTTGTGACTTGTGAGAGATGTTTGTCCGCTGCAAACTCGCCATCCGCCACTGCAAACTCGCCTACCACAACTCTTACTGTTGGAGCTTGGAACTCTGTAAGTGCTGCAAACTCGCCGTTGCCGGTAGCCGTCATTCACCGTTGATTGGTGTGTGTCGTCATCGGACGTCGGAGCTACTGGCCGCCGCAGGTGGTCAGTTGGGTGTGAGGGTTGAGAGAAGAAGGGAAGGGTTAGAACGAAAATGGGTTCTAACCCTAAAGGCATTCGATTTTGATTTGGGGATTCAAGTCATTTTATTTTTTGTTTTTTCTAATTAAAATTGTGAAATTAAAAAAGGATAACCCACGAACCACTGCCCGGGTCGATCGGTTTAGCGGTCCGACCGCCCGGGTCAGCGGTTTTTTTGACTTTTCAATGTTTTTTCCAAATTTCTGGTTTCTAGTATAACCGGACCCGGGGGGCTGACCGGTTACCGGTTTTTCCGATCCGACCATCTGATCCGGTCCGGTTTTGAAAATAATGCTTGGCATTATTTCTACCAAACATGTTTTCTAGAATAAATCAGTGATTCCCCAAACCCTTCAGAACACTGATTCTTGAGGAAATGATTTTGAAATATCAATTCTACCAAACATGTTTTCTTGAATAAATTTTCGTTGATTATCAAAAAAAAGATTCTACCAAACAGATTTATTCAATTACTTTTACTCCATGATTTTGTAATCAAGTTGCTCATTGTCTTGCCAAATTTTCTCTTATTTGTCCATTTATTGTAACTTGGTCATGCCCACCTGATTTCCTGATTCCTTTATTTGGAATCTCATGTAGCTGAGTGATTTGTTGAATGGATTAGCCTCCAGGCACCATGTCAAAATAATATATATATCAACCAAACAGCCACTACTTGTTATATACATGCCCATTAGTGGGCCCATGTGTCATATAAGAGAGATTATTAGGGGTGTTGGGCTATGCATGGAATAGGTTTCACGTAGGATGGTTAGTTGAATGTTTTATGTAAATAGATCATGTCAGTGGGTTGTTTGAGTCAATTATCTTGTTATGGGCTTAGTAGAGTTGCAGTGGGCCATGTTAAGTATGTGTGTGTGTGTGCTTATGAAAGTAGTGGGTCATGGAAAGTTGGGTTTATTTACATAAAACACTCGACTAACAATCCTATGCGGTACCTATTTCCATTCAAAACCCAACACCCCTAACATCTTTCTTCCATGATACATGGGCACATAACATTATATGCCAGGAACATTACAATTATTGTTTTGTTCGGAAACAGTTGTAAAAAACAACTCAGTTGTTATTTTCATCACTAACGTCATCGTATCAACTTTTATTTGAAAATATTTTCTCAAGAGTTTTGTACTAGCCATCCTCTTTGGTATTCTAACTGGCGCTAACCACTGGAAGACTGAAGTTGGTAAGAGTAATATGAGTTATCGTTCATGGTTGCATTGTCCTGGACAACCTAGTCTTATCCTAAACAGTTGGAACTGAAAACTTCAACTTATTTTTCCAGTTAAAATATTCTGCTCCTACATTATTTATCTCATTCATTTAAACTGTTAAGCATTATCTAAACTGCCCTTCCTTATCGTTTTCATGTTTATTTGTTTTACATGGCTCAAAATCAAAATAAAAATCTATTCTTATGTTATCAATGATTGCCGTTATCTATGTGCGAAATGGCCTTTGATCAGGTAGAATGGAAAAGAAGATTTTGTGTTATCAATCTCTAATGGGTTAGAATAAAGCTTTTCCTGTTCTTGTGTTAAGTCAAGTTGCTCTTAATTTATATTTTTAAGCATCAATTTGCTGTCCCTAATTCATGAACACTCATTTGGGTAGGGGGAAGCAAGGGTCTTACTGCTGTTAAGGCTTTTCCTATAGGCAGGTCAATATTGCAAAAAATGCATCTGGACGCAAACATTTGTTTTTAGCCAAACTGACTTTAACTCAGTGGGCTACATTCTCTTGGATCTCGCCCAGATGTTAAACCAGGACAAATGGATTTTTTATATAATAGAATTTTAGAAAAATATAAGAAGTTACTATTAAATTTTTGCAACTGTTGAAAGTTAAATCTAGTATGTATAGCCAGAGTATATTTGGATTTTATTTTGGCTGCTAGGCAATCAACCAAGACTGGAGCACTTTGCCTTTCTTGATTGGCCAGATTTTTTTTTGGCCAGATTCTTGATTGGCCAGATGCTTAATTATTGTTATTGTTATTGTTGTGTTGGAAGGTTTGGCTTCTTATATGGGCATTCAACAAACATTTGAATTTTAGTTGTATTGAAACACGGTTGGAGTAACAAGTCCAATACAAAGTCAAAGTACTAACAGAAACAAAGATTTCAAACTTTAAAACTAAAAGAACCAATTCGAACAGAGATGTAATTCAAACTCATTAACAACTGTAAAATAAAAAGAAAATTCAAACTCATTGACTTCCCAGAGTCTTATCTTTAGCAGCTTCTTATCCATCTTTTGTTTTATTATATTCAGAATAATATCCTTGAAATTCCACACTTTCATTTTTTAAAATCATGAAAAACAAGCAAATTGTATTGTACCAACCCTTAATCAAATGGTGGGCAAAAAACTTGAAAATGTTACTAATCTTTCTGCGTCAATATGTAGTTTTTAATCATGAATATCTTATTTGAAGAAAATCATAATTTGGTATCTTTACATCTCTGCAGTTGTTAGGGTGGCTTGTTGCAGCACCTTTCATTTTGACCATACTGTATGTGATATTTCTTCCAATTTTCAAGTACCTGGTTCCAAAGTTCAGTACCCTCCCTTCAAGCCCTAACAAGCCACTGATTTCCCATACAGATGTCCGGCTTAAGGTAAGAGATGTCTAACATCTCCTTAACTTTCATCTTTCTACAACCCAAAGATGGAATGGGTCATTGTGTTCTAACAATTGTACATAAACTTTATACTGAGATCAATGCTGTATAATAGATTGCAACTCTGTTCCTGGGGCGATGGTTCTATTGAAATCTCTATACCAAGTCGGGAATAGTTGGTGTTTTTATTTCATATTATGTTTTTGTTCAATGGTTTAGAAGAAATTAATTTGCTCATAGAGATTTCAGCATGCACATGCATGTTCAACGGTTAAAGTTACGTAGCCAGTTCTTAATTAACCCAATTTTGAGAAGGGTAATGTTTAAAGTGTGGATGAGATATGCCCGATACAGGGCATATTGTGGGTCGGGTGGAATGGCCTAAACTGACACCATGCATAAGTCTGTATTGGTTGATATAGACTATTTTTCTTTTGAATTTCAAATTATAAATGACTATTGATGTGGGGTGACCCAATCCAGCCCATTTGAAGCTGGGAGGCCCAGCCCACGAGCGCCAGATTTGGGAGCAAGATCCCCTACAGCAGGGGTTACCTTGCGCCACTCGTACGGAGCCAATCGTGGGGAGCCCATGCATCTCGTAGAGCTCTCTGGCTGCCCTCGTATGGCACCCATCTCAGGTGTTCATCTCCACCTACATCCAGATAACTCAAGTATAAATAGGGGTGCCCCCTCTAGGTAAGAGGATGGATTCATTTTACAACCTTACAGTCTGAACTTGGAACTGGGTTCACAGACCAGATCTTGGTTCCCCTCTTCGTATCCCGTACTAACTTGATCGTTGAAGACTCTGCCTCGGGTTCTCACCTGAGGCTTCTAACACGTTCTGTCTTGCAGTACCTCGGATACCTGCCTTCGGCTTCTTTAAGACTTTAGAGCCCTCTCTGCCTCAGCCTGCATACCTTGGCTTTGGTAGAAAGCTCCTCGCACCCTCAAAGCCTTTGGCCGACCCTTCGGAGTCTAGGGGCAAAATTACTTTGTTGTCCTCGGCCATTTCGAACATCAACAACTTTGCTTTTACCCATCCTTTATGCCTCATTAATTGTGGTTTTTTTAAATTTCAAGTTTCAAATTTTAAATGCCATCATTTAATTAATCAAATCTATTAATTACCTAACTTTATGTCATTATTTGGGGATTTTCAAATCATGCCATTTATTATCTCCTATTAAATACAGTTTTCAATTGGGGAAATCTCACTAAAACCACCCAACAAACTTTTACTTCACCTTACACTTACAATAATTTAAAGAGTAAATAATAGTAAATTACAAATGGGTTTAACTATGATATGGAAAAGTTATGATATCTGAAAAATAACTGATCAATAAATTGGAATCTTGAAAGTAGTAGCGAATAGGTACCTTATACTTTGGGGTAGGGACACTTAAGGGCCTCAATTTTCAAGTGGGCCATTTTAGTACCTTTAACCAAGGTTTAAAATTTTGATTTGTATCGGGTCATATCGGCTGATACGGATCATGTAGGTACATGGTGCTTGTTCAATCCTTTAGAGTACAGAAGATACTAAATTGATACCATGTGGATACCCATGATTAGTTTATAGCGCATCAATCGCCTGCGATGAACCCATAACCCATCACACAATTGCGATGACTTCATAGTTCATCGCAAATCGACGATGAGCTCATACCTGAAACAGGTCACGATGAACTTTTGCTTGTGTGAACCTGTGATAAAGCTTAGACATGCAAATTTGCGATGACTTATAAGACGTGTGCGGATTCCTGATGAACTTTGGGCGCACGAGGAGTTGCGATGAACCCGAGACCATTATAGGACCATGGAATCACAAAAGATCGAGAATAAATGTCAGTTACATGTGCTTCTTTAAGTTACATGTGTGATAAAACGTCACGTTGGCTTAATGAAAGCGCACTTGCCGAACGGTGATGTCACCCGCGTCACGTCAGACTTAGTATAAAAGGGTTACATATGGAGAGAATCCTGAAGGGAAAGGATTATCTAATAATGTTTCCCTAATAGTCAAACATAAGGAAATATCTCCTTTCCTAATAGAAAATATTTTCTTTCCTAATAGGAAAGAACTTTCATTATACCCTTGGCTTTCTCTCTATAAAAGGGGAGATCGATTCTTCTCCATGGGGGACAATACAATATAACTCTGACCTAGGGTTTCTCATAAGGAGGCAACTTCCCCCCCCTCCTCTCTTCTCCTCTCTTCCACACGTCCTCTCTCATTCCCGTTGCCATCTCTGGATCTTCGGAGACAAACCATCCCCACCTAGCTTTAACACCCTACCTACATATCGTATCGGGTTGTATCAATATTTTGAACCTTGCCTTGAACTTTTAGAAATATACATTTAAGGCCAACTCTATAAAACCATAACAAATGAGGGCCAAATTACAAAATTATCCATGTTAATATTTTCCTTTGCTCACTAATATTTTATTTTACTCCTTTTTTTTTCTATATGAAACTAAGGCTTTAAAAACTGACCTGGAAATGGAACTGTTCTACCTACCGGTTTTCGGGTTAGCAGTTCAATCGTCTGAGTCGAACGGTTCAGACAATTTGCATTAGGGAAAATATTTATATGAGAAAGAACTGGAGAAGGGATTGTTAGAAAGAAAAAAAGGAAAGAAAGAAAGGAAGAAGAAAGGAAAAAAAGAAAAGGAGAGAAAGGAAAAGAAGGAAGGAGGGAAGCAGGAAATAAGGAGGGAAGGAGGGAAGAAGGAAGAGGAGGATGATTCGACGTTCACCGGCGATGATAATGGTGACGGCGATGACGAGGCTGCGGTAATAGATGGAAATATGAGATATGAGTTCTCGGATCTCAGATCTGAGATCGATTTCTCTGCAATGTTTAGATCTGTAGTTTTCTTCTTCTTCTTCTTCTTCTTCTCTCTCTCTTTGTGCTGAATTTTAGATCTGAGTTCATGTTTCAGACTATCGGTTTCTCCCTTCTCTCCAACTTTCTTAATCCACGAACCACTGTTCGAGTTAAACGAGTCGACGATTCAACTGCCCAGGTCAGCAGTTTTCTGACAAAGTTAATGGTTTTTGACCTAAGAACGGGTTGGGGTGAAACGGAACCGGATGCTTGGATGGTTTCCTGGCCGAACGGTCTAACTGTCCAAGTCAACGACAGTTTAAAAACATTGTATGGAACCATCTCTGTACTTCTTTTCAACAAAGAATAAAAGCATTTGAATAGAACAACAAAAACAATGAAAAAAAAAAGAGAAAATCTGAATAAGAGTGTTTTTCGTAATTTTACCCTCATTAATTTTAACGAAGTTGGACTCAAGTGTTTCTAAAAGTTCAGGTAAAATTGTCACACTTGAAAGTTGCCCTTAAACTGTACTACCCCCAAAGTAGAGAGTATTTATCTAATTTAAAACTTTCAATATCCCCACTTATGACACCACACCCCTCTCCCACCCGCATTAGCATCAATTCGCCCATCACTATCATTGTTCCTACTTGTAGGATGAAGTAAAAAATTGTGAGGGGGTAAATGAAGATTCCCATTCTCAATTTTCATGTTTTTTATTGGTAAGACTACTCGCCCTTTTACCCAGCGACCTTCAATGAAAAGTAAACACATCACTTAAAAAAAGTCATTCAACTTTTAACATTAATGGCACATTTAATGAGCAGAATTCTAAAGAAGTTTAAATTTAATTAAGGTGATGTTTGGTACCATCCAATTCCTCTAAATGAGATTTCTTATAAATCATTGACTTTTTAAAAAACATAGAAATTGTTTGTTTGGTACCATTGATTATGATACCATGTCAACCAAAAAAATTGGGCCCGGATTTTTTTTAGTAATTTGTCAATTTCTCAAAAATCGGCCATCAAACAACAAATTCATTTGATTTAATGTGGCTTTAACATGACACTGATTTCTGTAAATTTGGCAATGGTTCCAAAATCCCCAATTAGTACCATGTATTTTTGGGTCTAGTGCCACTTTGGTCTCTGAACTTTAAAACACGACAATTCAGTACTCGAACTTTCAAAACATGCCAATCCAGGTTGTTAACCAGTCGTTAAGTGACATTTGGAAAGACACAATTGCCCTTCAAATTTCATCTAAATTTCTTTATCAACCATCCAAATGTTGACAAAAGATAAACAGTCCCAAATCCTTGCCTCCTCTATTCAAGAAGGTTGGGGTCACCAGAATGCCTACAAAAAGGAAAGAACAGTGGCAGAGAGAGTCCAAAACTGTTGATAGTACAGACTATGCAGCCTGGAACAAAAGATATCATGGAGCGTTTTGCATTCAATCATATCTATAAATTAGCATTTAACGTTGATCCAGGTTGTCTCAGCGGTGACAACACTGTCGACATGAGATTTTAGTTTTGCATTGATCCGTAGACACCATGGATGTGGTTACCGTTCATTCAGAAACGCCATGAGTTTTTAGTTTTGCACCTCTATTTCATCTCCTTGAAGAAGAAGATGATAAACCGTGATTTATTTGCAATGTAATTTTGACATTTTCAAAAGTTTTAAGTCACACATGATGTCATGTGATACACATAACCAACGACTGATTAACAACAGGTACTATATTGACACGTTTTGAAAGTTTGAGTACTGAATTGTTGCATTTCAAAGTTCGAGTACCAAAGTGGCACTAATAGGCCCAAAGTACAGGGTACTAATCGGAAATTTTCCCTAAAAAATAAACCAAAATGAATGTGGCATTCTCTTGGGAGTCAAGAATGGCCATTCCCCATATGAGAGAATCCCATTCTGCCTATGATGGGAATGAGATTCCCATCTTGATCAACCAAATGGTTGAAATCCGAATGGGCCATTTCAGTTCCGATTCTAGGCTCCTATTTCCTTGAACCGAATGGACCCTAATATTCTAGGAAACTACAAATAATACTGAGTGATAAAAGGGGCAATGAAAGAATAGGTGGTTAATAGATTCAGTTTCCCGATGACAGAACACACACTGGGTGTCAAAATGCGTATCAAAACTTTTTTCTTTAATAGGTATAAACTCATTCATTTATCTCCACATGAACAATTGATAACGTAGAGGAAGAGGTAACTTCCAAATCCATTTAAAACAATTATTTTTGGGTAGGGGAAAGATCCTATAAAGTATGATGTTGGAGATCCAAATTAGCATATTTAGACAAAAATTTGCCAGTAGAATGCTTTAGCCAAATCCACCAATCAACGTTTTCTTCCAAAAAGATAGGAGTTTGATGACTA